CCTAGGGCCACCGCTCCCTAGCCCTTCCCAAGTGCACTCACCAATATGGGACCAGAGATCTGGGCCACAGGGGACCCACGGCTCAGCAAAGGTTTGCCAAAGACCACTGGATGAGGTGGACGCCGTGACACATGCCCTAAGAAGACTGCAACAGAGCAAAGAGCCAGAGTGGGTCTGCAGGAGGCCAGCAGAGGTGCAGGAAGGGGTGCCCCCCCCTTCTATGGACACCACACCAGAAACACTGCATCATTCTATCCCAGACCCTGCAGCTCCCCTCCCAACTGGAAAGCTTGAGGATCAGCTGCCGCTTGCACAGACCTTACATGTGGTTCTGGAAGCTCACATGACCATCAGCTAGGCCCTTCTCTGTGCCTACCTCCAGGCTGCCCCGGGCCCACAACAGCTACAATCTCCACACTACTGAACCCGTCTCAGGATCCCCTGATCCTGTTCCCAGCAAGCCCTATGCACCATGTAGTGCCACGAGCCTACCTGCCTCTGGAGGGGGGCAGCTCTTCTCAACCTGCTCATAAGGCGCTTTTGAGCCATCGCTTGGAAACCTCATGGGTGGCAAACATAGGCAGAGGCAAAATCAGTATGTGGGGCTGAAGGTTACCTTGGCCACTCACCACCAGAGGTTCAGAAATGCTCACCGAACGTGGATGTAATGGTCATGCCAGCTCTCCCCTTTTGGCACTGGGAAGGCCATTTCTCGAGGTACGGGGTTGACAGGCAGCTTTGCACGCCGGGCCTCAGTGGCAGTGACAGCTAAAATGATCAGGGCTGTTCTAGATCAAGGGGAGTTTGTCCTGTCCTTTCCCATCCAGGCAAGATGCAACACCAGGCATCTGCCAGTGGATGCTGGGCCACCAGCCCGCCCCAACGCTTCTTCTAGAACTGAGGCCATTTGGTGTATGGCTCTCATCTGCTGGGGGAGGGTTCCAGCCTTCTAATGAGGATGGAGCATGAAGTGCGGGCCTTACCGGGGTCAAAGCACAGATCACTGGTGTAGAGGTTTCTGACTAATAGGCTGGCACACAGCCTGATGCTCTTGAGGTGGCCATAGTGCCGGTTCAGATAGAACATCAAAATGTCATGCAGGTCCAGCTGCAGGCAGGTCCAGCGGACGTCAGGAGGAGCTACACCTGCCAGGTCTGTATGACAGGTGCAACATCAGTACCGCTCGTTTTGTGTCCCCGTTTCCACAGTGGCAACCCTCTCAGCCCCAGACCCCAGCAGTCCTCAAGGCCACACGCAAGCCCAGCTGGGCCTGCACCATCCCATTCTAGGCTTTCAAGCTGTCTCTCCTGAACCAGGTGTCACCACCTCTTCTGGACGTCTTCGTCTCGAAGACAAAGGGGAACTGAAGCCATGTGGCAGAGGACTTGAACTCCTTAAAGAGGTTGGAGAAAGACACACGGATGACCTGGCCGTCCTGTGAGGCAGAGCGAGGCCATTAGATGGAGATTCCGGGGGAATAAACAGCAGCAAAACCACACAGCCCTCCTTCCAATCTGAGCACCTCGGTGGACACATCCAGGTGGATAACGAAGTGCTTGGTAGGCAGGGGCCGGAAAAGTACATACAGGTACCGCCCAGTCAGCCCCAGAGACTGGGTGCTGGTTCTGGGGAGCTGAATGTAGTTGCTGGAAGAAACAGACCCACGGATGCGATACACGGCGCTCTTCAGGACCTTGTCCTAGAAAGAGAGAGGAGCTGCACACAGCGCAAAGCTGGAGGACACTCAGAGTGCCCACCCGAAGATGGCTCAGGAGCAGGAGGGCCCCCGGGCAGTACCGTCACCACGGCCACATCTCCCTCTTTGCTGGACCGTTTCCACTCATCCACCCTGAAGTGTCTGAATACGTTGAGGAAGGGGTGCTGCCAAGCTGCAGGGGAAGGGACGCCTCCCGAGCACCGGTCTAGGGCAGCGCGCCGCGACCTTTCGCCTCCGCCAGCGGGACGGGCTTCCGCGCGAGGAATGGTCAGTGACGCAGGGGGGACCTCCAGCCCGGAACTCCCAGAACGCGAGACCAGACGACAGTGCGCCGGGCGCGCACCGCCACCTCCGGCCATGGCGCCCCAGCTCGCGCTTCCCGCCTCGGCTGACGCTGTCCTACGCAAGACACGCATCACGACGCCTAGCAACAGCCGCCTGGCAACATTGCGTCACTTCCGCCAAGGCAACGCACGGGCTCCTGTAGCTGCGTGGCACCCGGTTGCCTAGCAGCCTACCCCTTACCCCCCCCCCCCACCCACCCACACACACACACGCACCCGCCTCTTGAGTGTTGTTCCCAGGCCTCTCTGGGCTCGCCCAGGCCACTCCCATCGATTCCTACTTGGGCCTCTGCGGCTACGCCTAGCCCCCTCCCCCAGGCCACCTGTTTTATTGTTGTTTTTAAGGATTTATTTATTTATTTATTATGTATACAGTGTTCTCTCTGCATGTATCCCTGTCTACCAGAAGAGGGCACCAGATCTCATTGTAGGTGGTTGTGAGCCTTGTAGTTGTCCAGAACTGAACTCAGGACCTCTCTTAACCTCTGAGCCATCTCTCCAGCCCCGCCGGCTGTTTTAAGTTGGGGTGTTCGCCAACCCTCTCTGAGGCCTCCATTTGAGGGGCTGAACCTTTTTTCTGTGTATGAACAGGAGAGGTTATGCTGAGGCCATCTCCACAGTCCACCCAGGCTGGGTCTTACGGATGCTTTCTAACCCTGTGGAGGCACCTGATCAGCACCCAGTTACTCTGGGTCTCTCTGCTTCAGGAAAACAAGTTACCAATGCCCACTGGGGCTAGGATCCCAAACAACCACCTTCAGCACGGGTTCACCACATACCCAAAGACCCTTGAGACATACTTCCCAATATCCCACAACCAGGCCTACAGGCTTGAGAGGGCAGGTAGGACCTGCAGGGTAGGGCTAGGATCCCATTCCAGTTCAGTCCCTGTGTGAAGAATGGACTCGATCTCTAATAAGTGGAGACATGTCCTGGTCGCCTCACTTAAGGGTTACTCCTATGTCAGGGACCTGGCTAGGGAACCACCGCTAGAGGTTAGGGTTCTTCTTACAATAAAGTGCTTTTCAGAATCCCCGTCCCCCCAGTGCTGTCCCTACCAGCCAAGCCACTGTAAAGTTAGGCTGGGCCTGCCAGCCTTTCTGAGGCCTCACTCAGGGGGTGCTGGCCAGAGCCTAAGTATGTTTTTAAAACTCTTAATACATTGGATTCCTTGCTCTTTTTCAACCTTCTTGAGACAGAATCTATGTAGACCAGGCTGGTTTTGAACTCAGTGTCAGCCTCTGGAATTCAGGGATTAAAGGCCTGGGCCACCACGCCTTGCAGATGCCTGCAGCCAGGAGGCTGGCCTCCTTATCTGCCTTGTCTACAACAGCCAGGCCTTCTCCTTCCTTCCAGGCAGTTCAGAGGTTTACAGCCTGCCTGCCCTGGGCTTTTCCTTAAGGCTAGTAAATTCTCAAGCCCCCATTTGAGTTTGTTCTGTCCTTGAGCTTCTTCTGTTCACATCCAGTCTTTTATTTTTATTTAAGACATGGTCTATGTAGCCCTGGCTGTCTTGGAGCTCACTTTGTGGGACCAGGCTGGCTGCAAATTCACAGAGAGCCTCCGGCCTGGCCTCTTAAATTCTCCACCCCACCCCCGCAAAGATTTATTATGTATACAGAAGAGGGTGCCAGATCTCATTACAGATGGCTGTGAGCCACCACGTGGGTGCTGGGAATTGAACTCAGGACCTCTGGAAGAGCAGTCGGCGCTCTTAAGCTCTGAACCATCTCTCCAGCCCCTTAAATTTTTGTTTTGTTTTGTTTTTGTTTTTTGAACAGGGTTTGAGCTGTGTAGCTTTGTGCCTTTCCTAGATCTCGCTCTGTAGACCAGGCTGGCCTTGAACTCACAAAGATCCACCTGGCTCTGCCTCCCGTCTGCTGGGATTAAAGGCGTGCGACACCACTGCCAGGCACTTAAATTCTTATGTTAATAAAACTAAGAATTCCAATCGGGGACCTTGATTTCCCAAGAATCACCAAGATTTCTGGTAACACTCCTTTCCTGCCTTTTAATTCTTTAATTGTCTGAGAAAATAAACACATCCCTGCACCTCTAGCCAGCAGCACCTGCCTCTTGGGGTCTGACTTTGGTGTCTGTCAATTGCCAAGAGGTACTAGAGGCAGATGGGACAGCTTGGGTCTACATACTTCCAAAGTAGGCTGGTCAAGGACCCCATCACCCTGGTTAAGCATGATGGGGCATGCCTTTAACCCCAGCACTCCCTGAGTTCTAGGCCAGTCACTTATCTCAAAAATAAAAACAAAGAAGAGCTGGACAAAGCGGTAACTCCTGCTACTTACTCCCAAGAGTAAAGAGAAGATGTGGTTAAAAAGGGATGTCGCAATCCCAGCTACTGGGGAGGCAGGAGGATCAAAAGGCTGGTGGCACATGTCTTTATCACCAGCATTCAGGAGGCAGAGGAAGGTGGGCTTTGAGTGTTCAAAGCCTGCCTAGTCTACACAGCAAAGTTCAGGTCAGCCAGTTTTACACATTGAGACCCTATTCCAAAAAAAGGAGAGGATACAGTAGTAATAGTAAACAGAAGGCTGGGGTGTAGGTCAGTAGTAGGGCATACACCTCTTACCAAAAAAAGAAAAAAGAAAAAATGCCGGGTGGTGGCGGCGCACGCCTTTAATCCCAGCACTCGGGAGGCAGAGCCAGGCGGATCTCTGTGAGTTCGAGGCCAGCCTGGACTACCAAGTGAGTTCTAGGAAAAGGCGCAAAGCTACACAGAGAAACCCTGTCTTGAAAAACCAAAAACAGAAAAGAAAAAAAAGGACATACACTTCTCATGCTCATGCAAGCCCTGAATTCAACTCTGAGTATTATAAAGGGTTGGGGGAGGCTGAGGCTGAGAACAAGAGAAGTGGACACATGAACCCAACACACATATCCCCCCCCCCTCCCCCGGCTCCCCAGCCATTGACACTCTAAAGGGCAGTTTCTCAACTTTATTAGCCTGGGCTCCTCCCTGCCAGCCCCAGGGGCTGGTCCCTGGGCACAGTGAGCAGGACTGAGGTTAGACAGGTTTGGCCTCTGGCTCTGGCAGCTTGGGACAGCCAAGCCAAGGGAACAACAGGTGCAAAAGTCCCAAGGTTGGCACTTCAGGTGTGACCGGTACCCAGCCTGGCCACAAGGTGGACGGGCGCACCATGGTCCTCTTCGGGCAAAAGGTCCACTATGGCAGCATTCCCTCATGGACAGGTGTTAGGAACAGTTGGTGATTCTAGCCAGGAACTGCTGTGCCCACCACTCATCCAGGTCAATAGGTACAAAGTCTGTGGGGAGAATAAATGGTAGGCAGTGATGCCGCTTTCCAAGCTGGCCAGTACCTCTGCCCTCCAGCTGACCACAGCTCCTATAACCTGGACTCCAAGCATAGCACTCAATGGAAAATGGGGAAGTCTGACCCAAGACTACCCTCCCCAAGCCCCTGGGTTAGAACATGGTGGAGGGGTCAGGGTCAGAGAAGTCTTTGGGGGATACAGGGCATGGGTTAAGGCTCACTCTGCAGCCGGGGATCAGGAGAGCTCTCCACATACTGCACAGGACGAGGGCCACTCTTATCGGCAGGGCCGCCATCCAGCTGTCGCTCTACCTGCTGCCAGGCTGTGAAGGAAGGACAGTCAGAGTGAACCAGGCCCCTGGGATCCCTCCCACCCCAGAACCTGGACTGCAGCCCAGCTCAAGGAATGGACACGACCAGGCAGAAGCCAAAGAAAAGGCCAGCCAGGGGCGGCTAGAGTCAGGCTATAGGGGAAGGACAGAACAGAGCCAGGTCCACACTACTGGGACTCTATGGCCTGGGCCACACCCCCTGGTCCCTTAGTACCTTCGGACACAAATCGGACGTTCTCCTCGTGGGCCAATGTGTAGGTCTCTTGGCTTCCCTCGAGGGATGGGGATGTGGTGAGGGGCCGCCGGCCGTTCACTCGATTGAACACAAGCCTCGGCCCCGGACTGTGGGAGGGTAGGAAAGAGATACAGTTAGCACAGCCAGGTCCAGGAGCTACTGTGAAGGGTTCAAGAGCAGCCTCAGAACATACCCACTGCACCTGCACAGGCACAGACCCAACTAGACCCTTCCTTCACCATAGAGCAGCCACCCTAGCTGCTTGGGACAAGGCCTCTCTGCTGCAGATCCTGAGCCTTCTTCAGCTCAGCTCAGACCTGTAGCTCTGGGCCCAGGGAAGGGTGACTGTAAATCAGAAAGAGCCCCGGCTCTCTTTCCAGACCTTTGGCAGAGTACCACAGAGCACTCCTCCACTCCTGACTCCTCCCCACCCACAGAGCACTCCTCTACTCCTGACTCCTCCCCACCAATAGAGCACTCCTCCTCCACTCCTGACTCCTCCCCACCCACAGAGCACTCCTC